TGTATCCCCAATGCCTAGCTGAGTGCTTGGCATATAGTAGGCAATTAATAAATCCTTGTTGAATTGGATTGAATAGAAGCAGTGCAGCTCCATGGGGTTTTTGTGCCCTTCTCCTCCCCATCTCTCCTGCAGGTAACCTACAAGTGTCTATGTTTATTCCCACTCCAGTTACTAACTTGGTGCATGTTTAAGAAAAAGTCACAAATTTCTGTGCTTCCATTTCTTCCACCCACAAAGAGGAACTACAATTCTAATCACCTCCTGGAGTTCACAGAAAGAATTTAATCAGAGAGGCTGAAAGGAGCCTTAGAACATAGAAAGTCAGGGCCAGAAAGGACCTTAAGAACAGAAAACATCAAAGCCGGAAGGAACCTTAGAACACAGAATGTCAGGGCTGAACCTAATATTAGGACATTAAATAGCAGAGCTGGAGAAGGTCTTGGACATCACGGAGTCTAAATGATTGATTTTACAACTAAGGGACTTGAGAGATATTGTTTCATAGTGGAAAAAAACCACTAGATTTAAGATCAAAGGACCTAGGTTCAATTTCCAGTTCTGCCTCTACTACCTGTGACCTTGGTCAAATCACTTCACTTCCCTGGGTCTCAGTTTCCTCATTTGTAAAATAAGGAAGACTTCTAAGGTCCCTTCCAGCTCGAAATCTAAGATCCTATGACTAGATGTCTCTTCCAGCTATAAATCTATGTTCCTACTTGCTCAAGGTCACACAGTGACCCATCAGTGGCAGTGCTAGGATCAGAATCCAGTTCTTCTGATTCCTAGTATGGTACACTCATCAAAGACTAAGCCGAACCTAGACTGGTCAGCAGGATTCAGACAAAATTATACTGCCAGGGAATAGGACTTGATGTGCCTCAGCCTCGTCTCATGTGTAGAGCTCCCAACAGTATTCCCTTCTCCTGGCAAGACAGGATGCCTCTCTTGGTAGGAAGGGCTTCAGATAGGCACCACAGGAGCACCACAGGCCAGGAGAGCATTGCTTTGGCAGAACAACAGGTGAAAACTGTTAGGGTCTGGTTCACACAAGGACTATCAGCCCCCTGTCTCCGCCCATAGAAAGTTTATTCAATAAAATTCAGGAGAGAAAAGAACACGTCCTGTTTTATGTCTCTCTTGTTGTAGGCAATGCACATCTTTGGAGATCTGTGGATGAAAGGCACCATATAAAATGCAATCAATTATGTATCACTATTACTGAATTAATCACATGTATGATTAATATAGTAATAATAATTAATGGAAGTATGGTCTAGAGATTAGAGCAGTGGACTAGCGGGGAGGAGTCTAGGATTCTCCTTTTCCACTCTGCCATTGACTTGCTGGGTGACCTTGGAAGGTCTCCTGAGCTCTTTGTGTCTTGGAAAATTTTTCTCTCTGTCCCCCACACCTTGGAAATTAGTATAATGACCCATCTATGCTTTGAAATTCATGGAAAAGACCTAGTAAGAGTAAAGACTGTTGCCATAAATAAGCCTCAGAATCTCAATTGCTTAAGGTCAATGAGATAGGGACTGTAGATTTAAAATGAGCAAGGCAATTATAATTCAAGTCAACAAATACATGGTTAAGTACTGCCTGGGTACAAGACACAAAGTCCTTCTTATATTTTCATCAGTATTTTCTCATATGCCCCAAGAAGGTAGGGACCTAAGGAAATAGCTCTAACACAGTGGAAAGAATGTTGGATTTAGAGTCAGAAAACTGGGTTCAAATCCTAACCCTGCTAATTCCTATCTGTGTGATGTGGGCCCCAGTTAGTGGTGTGTGGAGGGAGTGGGGATGGAATTGATGGCACTTTCTATAAGGTCCTCTGGGCTCTAACTTTCTACACGTTCTAAGGCTCTTTCTGGCTTCTTTGATTAATAGCAGTTATTCTCATTAACCCCAGAGCATAATTGCAGGGGGGTTGGACTAGATAATCTCTCAGATGCCTTCCAGTTTCAAAGTTACTATGTTCCTAGACTGTTCACTCACTTTGCACCCTAAACTACCAAATGCTTTTTGAATGTGAATTCCATGTCTTCCATTTGAAGCAAATTGTGCAAAGAATACAAGATCATAGTAATTGAGAGACTGATTCTACTGGTTAGCAAGAAAACAGCAGAGATTTTGGGAGGCATGTTAACACTTTCTGGCCCCTGGGCTGCTATCCTGTGACTTCATTTCAAAGCAAAGGTAATTACCATAAGGCTCTTTAATTGACCAAACAGGTTATTGTATCTCCCAAACAGACAAACTGACTACCTGTTCGCCAAAAAGACCAGGATTCTGATTTGTTTTCTCCATCATTACTAAGGGACCCTGTTAGGCACAATGAGCAATAACTATAATGAAGCAGGGATCTGGTAACCTTGTCCTATGAAGAATTTTCTTCTCATTTAAGGAGAGGATAATCTCAGTCTTCAGATATTCGAAGGTCTGTCATGTGAAATTATAGAGAAGTGAAAAAAAATATCATGAGAGAAATGTATAACTGGACAAAAGATGGGCTCTTCAGATTGAAAGAACAAGGGAGTACCTACTGGAATGTCAGTGTATTCCACTGCTCTCCACACAAGGTCAAGAAAACTTGAGGAAGGCCCCCAGTACTTGAATCGACACCTGGTGGGGGATTTATGGGAGGATGTGGACAAGAGACAAACAGGATAGACAGATAAGCTTGACTTTTGATCTCCATCGTTGGAGGAAGTGCCCCCATTGATAAAAGATCACAGAACCAGGGCAGTATTGGCTGGAGCCTTGTGAAAATAGGATTCAAGGTTTATTTTGTGTGTCTCCAGAAGGTAGAACGAGAACTGAGCAGTAGACAGGCTCACTGTAAGGAGGAGATTTCTAACAATTAGAGCTGGTCAACAATGGAATTGGCTACCCCCAGGAGATAGTGAATTCTCCATCACTGCGGTGTACAAGGAGAAACTATATGACAATCTGTCAAGGATATTGGAGAGAATTTCTGCATCTGGTGGGAGTTTGGGCTAGATAACCTCTGAGATCCCCTTTCAATGCTAGGATTCAATGAGTTTATGAAAATTTTGGTAATTTTCTAAAGGCTGCTGTGGTATCCTATAATAACAGAATACTAGAGCTAGAAGGAACCTTGGAACACAACATGATCAGAAGGACCTTAGAGACCATGTAGAAAAAACAAAACAGAAACCTTACAGAGTATTTGGATGAGGAAACAAGAAGGCAAACTATTCATTCAGAAGCCATTTTGCGGTCAGTTCACAACAGTTGGGAGAAGGGGATGTTTTAGGGTATTGCCACAGCATTGCATTTTGACCCATTGTCAATAAGAGATCAGCCCTGATCCTTTTGCTACTGTGTTTAGATGAAATGGAAATAAAATGCAAACTCTTCTAGTTCTTGTTTGCTGTTCTGACAACCGGGCAGACCATGATGATGGAAGAGCAGGGTTTTTCCTGGGGATTAATGATTCCGCCTGAGAAGAGAAAAGAGGCTGAGGGGACCTCAGTCCATCATTTCCTTTGGGAGGTGTCTTCAACTATGCCCCCCATTTTTTTTACTACTGTATAGTCCAAATATCATGATAATATTTTTACCTTGAAAGTTGCATCCATATAAGAAGGTGGTGAGGCACTAGATTGGGTGACTAAGGGATATGCAAAAATCAAAATCAAAATCCTCAAAGATTTTTATTGGAATAGGTACTGCTTGAGGATGTTTTTCTGCTTAGAGCTGAGGAATGGACAAAATGTCCTCCAGAGCATTCTTTTCATAGTTGTGTTCTCCCCGGAAGAGAAGGAGGGCATTGGAATCACCAATGCCATTTTAAAATGGAAAAGTAAGACTTTGAAAGGAATTGTGATGTGTCTAGGGTTAAGTAGCAAGTCAGTGACAAAGCAGGGGCTTAGAATGCAGAAACCTTGACTCCCAGGCAGTGTGCCTCCCCGTGCAACAAGTGAGGCTTCATAATTCTACAGCATGTAGATGATATTTCACAATAGGCCTTGAAATAGTACGTGGGGGCATAATCTCATTTTTCAAGGATGAGGAAATAAGATCAACTTTGTGATTGGGAACAGGAAAGGGTTAAAGTGGAGAAACAGTAGGGGATAGGGCTTGGAATTCTTCCTGCTTACTCCCTGCATCTAACTTGACCTTGGACTAACTTACTATCTTATTGTTTCAGCATCCCAGTATCTCCTTTCTTAATGAACCTGAATAACAATGATAACTTCTTTGAGATATTCAGACCTAAACCCATCTAGTAGAGTTAAGGAGTTATGAATACTCAGACAGCCTCCTAGAAGTCCCCTCTAGAGGACAGAGGAAACTCCTTTTCAACCCACAGAAAAGCTGCACATCAGAGAATCTCTCAGGGGCTGAAGAACTGTGATTTGCCTTAACTCATAAACTCTCAGAGGGTCCCCCTTGGTTTCCCTCCCAATCCCTGGAGGAGTTCTCCATCGACCCCATCTCTCTGCCAGTGAGGGTAGGTGCGATGACACCTTTTTGCAGCTAAGCGCCAATCCCCCTACTCCTCCCGTGGAAAAATCTGGCTTGGCTTAATCAAAAACAGATCCCATCAGGGTGGAGGCGTTGATGTGTCAGCTGATATTCAGTCTCTGGTTATTTGCTCAGTTCTCTTCCCCCCCCCCATCTTCCCAAATCCATCCACCCACCCCTTTCTCCATTGCTCTGGTCCTTATGTGTAGCACTGAAGGAGAGAAAGAAGCCTTCTTGGATGTTAGAGGGGAGCCCTCCGAGCTGGCTTCAGACATTAAGGCTCTTCCTGGCACCCTGTCTGGGTTTAGATGGGGGCAGCTCCCACTCCCACGGGCCCTTTGCCAGCCCAGTGGAGCCCCTTCTGCTACCCCGAGGAAAAGAAGACTGCAAGAAAACTCCAGCAAGAACAGTGGCTTATCCCCCAAACATTCATGACTAAATTGAGCTAGGGATGCGCCCTGTTTGTATTGGTGAGCTTGCCCCCAGGCCCAAGAAAGGAGATGTTTAACCAACTAGCCCTCAGAGCAGCCTCGCTTCATCACAAGCCGACTGCCAGGACCAGGGCATCTCACTGGCCCTGGACCACCCTGCTCTCAGCATTTCCTCCTTTGCTGCGGCTCTTCCCCTGAGTCTGGCTGTATTTCTTTCCTGCAGCTTTAAGAAGACCATTGCTCCGTGGTGGGATGGTGTGTTAAAGCCACACAGAGGAAGTTACGCAGCCTGGATCAGACAGTGAGATAAAAGCTCCGATTGTGATTGAAAGTGATGGCAAAAGGATTTAGCCTCAGTATTAACTTGGAGAGGAGTGGAGGGGGAGAGGGAGAGGGAGATTTTCCAAAGCTCCCAGCCATCTGTCCTGGAGCTCAGCTGGGGGGATGCTGACCGTCCCAGATGAGAAGAGGTGAAACCCACCACAGCCCAGGAAGGACCAGATCCCAACCAGTGTGGGTTCTTTCCGTGCTTCTTTTCGGGGAGAGAGGGGGAAACAAAAGTTTAACTTGTTTGTGACCGACCTCCGACTCCACCCGAGTGGGAGGCGCGGGCAGGCTTGCCTGCCCCCCTCCCCTCATCCAGCGTCTCTGGGACGGCTGCAGGCAGCTCCACATGCATCCTGATTGCTCTCCAACCCCAAACTAGCAGCAGCAGCAGCAGCAGCAGCAGCAGCAGCAGGAGCAGCAGCAGCAGCAGCAGCAGCAGCAGCAGCAGCAGCAGGAGGGAGGAGAAAGGACCAGCTTTCACCCCTACATCCCCCTCACCCACCCAGTCAACAGTCAGAAGAGAGGCAGAGCCCAGAGGGGGTGGTGGTGCTTTGGCTGACTGACTGACCTGCGCTCCTCGGTGGAATCTGTCCGTCCCTCACTGCGCCTGTTAGAGAGGCTCCAAGCCCTGGTAAGGTGGAGAGGAAGAGAGAGAGGGAGAGAGAGAGAGGGAGAGGGAGAGAGAGAGAGACAGAGAGAGAGAGAGAGAGAGAGAGAGAGAGAGAGAGAGAGAGAGAGAGAGAGAGAGAGAGAGAGAGAGAGAGAGAGAGAGAGAGTAGGGTTGGGGGGGGCGGGGGGGGGGGGAAGAGCTGCTGCAGCTTCGCAAGGCTGGTTTCATTTTAAAAGGGCTCCAGTGACCATGCAGGCTTTCCCCATGATCGCGCGACGCTTAAAGCAACCCAGTGATTTATCAGATGTAAAAGTTATTTAGTAGCGTCTTCTACTAGGAGAGAACTGGAGTCTCCCCCTTAGAGGGGTGTGTGTATGTATTTGTAGCAAGATCTTAAAGGAGAAGGTTTTCTTTTTAGCTGGCTTTGTAAGGGACTGGGGTTGTTGTATTGCTCTATTCGGATTTGGGGGTTTTGTGTTTGTTTTGTGTTTGTTTGAGCGTGTTAGAGAAGGATGTCTTGCATATATCAGTCTGTATTCCCATGCAAAAATAATTAACCCTTCACTTGCTTACAATCCCTCCCCTCCAATTTAACTGCCGCTTGGGAGGGGCAGAAACAATACTCTCCCCTCACTCCCTCCTTATACCTCCCATCCACACTGCAGACTGATGACTGTCAAGTTGCAAAGAGCGCCTTTTTTTCCAGACATGACTGGGAAACTTCTGTCCTGGGTCGGACTCTGCCTCCTAGAAACAGGGATGGGTAGGTGGGTGGGTGTGTACTGATCGGGGACAGTGTGTGAAGGAGAACAAGGATGTCGTGGAGAAGGCAAGGGAGCAGTGAAGCTTTAGCTGCAAGTTGCTTGCATTCCCAAAGCTTCTCCAGAAGTTGTTCGCTTAGATATTGGTGCAGCTGCTTTTTTTTTTTTTTTTAATGGTTTTATGCTGGGGAAATGGAAGGAAAAAAAGATGCAACTAATTACTAGGGGGCTTCGAGTATAGTCTTCTAATTAAAGGAGGCGATGCCAAATGAGTAGGGCACCCTCAGTGCTGGCCGGTGCCAGAGGTTTTATTAAATGCATTATTATTAATTAATAACGTAGCCTGCACACAACTTTCAATAAAATTTGCCTTAGAACTGCTCAGAATTAGTCTCTTTTTGTAATGCAGGCAGCTTGCGTTCCGAGATCAGTTGTAGTATGGTCCTTACTTAACTCCAGCCCTACCTAAGTCAGTTGCCCGCGGCCACCTACTGGCTCCCCTCACCCGCTCCTAGCGCCCACAAAATGGGGAGAAAGATCCCTTCAAAACAGCCCAAAACTCAAAGGGATTTCTTGTGCAGGGGCTTCTCCCGACCCTGTGCACTAGAGAATTCACCTTTTTAAAAAAGAAAGAATTAAATTTCTCAACTATCCATAACTTTGTGAGTAGTCGGACCAGGCAAGGAGCACCTTGGCTTTAACCCCTGTTTTCGGATGTCCTGCCTACTCGACCATCAGCCTAGGAGTCAGTGCCGAGTGCTCGAGAGTGCGGTGAAAAGATACCAGTGAGGAGAAGCAGCCGCCCACCTCCAGCCACGAATGCCTGATGAGGCGAAGGGAGGTGGAGTAGAGGCAGCAGACGCCGCCGGCTGGGAGGTCACCCACCTGGCCTCTGAGCTTGGCGCTCCCGTCTTCGTTTCTTCTTGCCTTCTGCTGTACAGCTTTCCAAGACCGCTCGCTTTCTCAGGCCAGCTCAACAGCCGTCTCCCGAAAAGTGTGTGTGTTGGGCCGGGGGCTGAGGGGGTGGGACCACCCCGAGGAGGGCAGTTGGGGATGACAAGTGGACCGGATCCCGTCACCCCAAGGAGAAGACCCTTCTAGGAACAGTGCGTCGGGACCTGAGTAGCTCCAAGTTTACTCATTGTCACTGGAGCTGATTGCAACTCCGAGTGCTACCTCTCTGAGATCCCAACCAGACAGAGGCGATAATTCAATACAATAGAAATCTCAGTTCAGCTGTCCTGGTAAAATCTAATTTGGTGTGTACCCCTCCCCCATTGCCCTTCTCTCCCCCCCCCCCCACTTTGCTTCTCTAAGACTCTTAAACGAAAATAAAGAACATTAATTCTATTTGTTTCCGAGAGCTGCAATTTCTTAATAATAGCAGGTGGAGATTTATTTTCCAAGGAGAGAGCAACCTACCAGAATGAAACCTCTGATTATGAATATTTTTCTCTCTCTTTTCCCACCACCTGATTTATGCTTCATTATTCAGAAAACTCTGCTGATCTTTTTTGGTATTGTTGTTTTGGCAAAACCAAGCGTAGAGTGCTGAAATCACAATCCCCCCCCCATGAATGCCCACTTGATTGACTGATTGTAAATGTTTCCCAGGCAGATTCTGTTGTTGTTGCCTCTCCCTCTACTCCCCCCTCCCCCCCGCCATTTCCCGGGGAATGTGTGGCATTTAAGCCAACAGAACTGAGGAGTAATTAATGGATATTTCAGTTTAGCTCCACATAGCTCTCCAGCCCGCCAGCCTGCCTTCTCTCCCGCGGCCAGCCTCACACTTAAACATAGTCCTTCTGCCCGTAATGCCAATGAAAGCAACTGTGTTTTGCAGGTTAAGGAAAGGGATCCCTAAAGTTAATACCATGTCCAGCCCAGGGAGAGCAAGAGAGAAAATTGTTTCTGGCTGGACTCAGTTCTGAGCTCTACCTGTCTCTGCTGTTCCTGAACAGTTGGAAGTCACCCATTTGATGAATTAATTAGGAAGGGGCTGTTTTTGGTGAACACAACAACAGCTCTGATATCAGCATTCAGACCTTTGCCTGTCACACACTATTTTATTTTTACTACATTTACTCATGCTGTAAAAATAGAACACAGACGGTATTCTTTCTGAGAGTTTTCTATCAGGGAGCGCATTCAAGGCCAGGCAAGCTAGCTGTAGAACAGGTTTTCCCTCTGAACAGCACAGAAAGATGAGGATGTTTTAGGTTCTCATTCATCTCCATCAGAAGCCCTTCATCCTGAGAGAAGGGGAAGGGGGAGAGGTTAACACAGATGTATGAATGCCCCTGAACAGGGATCAATGGGACTATAACTTAGGACTTCACCCAAGATCTGATAAGAGTATTCAATCTGGATTGAGCAAAAATGGCTCATCCACTTTGTCATATTTGACAGAGGGTGTGTGAGTAAGTGAGTAAGTGAGTGTGTGTGTGTGTGTGTGTGTGTGTGTAACAGGAAATTATGGAAATTTATTAACTCAGGCTTCTTGTTAGAAAATTGCCCTTCCCATTTCTGTTTTTGGAGATGTGTAATGGGGATCAGAATGATGGTTCACCATCACCTTTGGGGTAGTTCTGATGTCATATTTAACAAAATAAGAAATAATAAATAATAACTCATGAATCTGTAGTTAATTCATCATAAAGAGACTGGCTCTATTGGCTAAGTACATTACTGAGGTCTGGTTAATTTGGCAAGTATCCATTAGTACAACATTTATAGTATTTAAAATATGTATGAGTATAATGATTATATTAGTTATATTATTTAAATGATCATCATATATATACTTTCTTATAATTATTATTGATGAAAGTGATGATAGTGATCATGGTGACCCAAACAAAGACAAACAGTGAGAATAATTGCAATGTCCTTGGTTCTGAACAGAAAACTCAATAGGAGGAGACGGTATTGTTCTTCTGAAAGCCTTCAATATTGCTAGTTTCTTAAATTTAAAAAATATATATAAATTTTTATATTCCAAATAAATTTTGTTTATGGCTCTCAGACTATGTTTTCCTGCCCAATATTCTTATTTATTGGCCTATGTTTCTATTACTATCTATTTGTCTCTACCTATATTCATAGTCTAGTCTCTGACTTTTAATAGCTCTGGCATTTTGACTTGCTAGTAAAGCGACTATTAAATTTTGGCTCCTGGGGATCTTTTGGAAAGTCTGAAGACTTTCAACTCCCGCCTCCCAAGATGGGGGGAGCTATTGTTGACCTAATCCTTACCACTACCAATGATAAGAAAACACATCACCTTTTTTTAATGATGTGCTTTTTCCAGATGCACAATTCCAATATTAATAAAAATAACCCACATTTCTCAGGAGACCTTGATAGATAGTGCACTCATTTTTTTTTCACATTTAGTTGGAGAGCTTTTGTTCTTGTAAATCTTTATCTCTCTCTCTCTCTCTCTCTCTCTCTCTCTCTTTCTAATTTGTTGCAGGTGTTGCTAATGAGCACTCTCTCCTCCCTTCTTACAATGAAAGACAAGCCAGACCCCAGGTACCTGGATGGATTGGTAGCTGAAGCTTCAGAAACTTCATAATAAGTTGCCTGTGGCTAGAAACCAAGGTCAGCTGGTCTCCTATTAGTGCCTAGCCCCTCTTCAAGTAGAGCAAACAACCCATCCCCTGATCAACACCTCAGTGGCTTTTTATTTTTTCAGATGAATCACGAGATAGCTGTCACTTTAAACCCATATGAAAGTCTTTCTATTTTTTTGGTTCTAAACATTACATTCAGTCCCAAAGAGGAATATGTTTCCAGCTAACATGTACACTACCTGATTTGATTTGATTTGATTTCTAATTCAGGCCTGGGGGGTTCATTTTAAGTTCTTTCCAGCACACCACACTTTAAGGACGCTTTAAATCCTTCGTTGATTGGAAGGACAGAAATTAAAAGCAATCTGATCCAGCCTCATGCAAGATCCCTGTGGATATTCTCCCTATCCCATTTTGAAACCCTGCCATCATTTGAGAGTGTGCCCGATTTCATCAGCTTCACCTGTGGGAGAAGTCACCCACTTTGCTATGCCAAGAATAGGGGAGTGTGAAGTTATGGACAACTTTTTGATCTGCTGGTCAACAGTTTGAGAAGCACTCACTCTGAGTTTTCCACATCAGCTGGCCAGACTTGCCTTCTGGACAAAGAGACTCCTTCTTGCCTACAAACCAGTGGTCCTTGGGTCTCTGGAATGTTCCTGGCCACTCCTGTTTGGTAGATGTGGTGTCTCCATGCTGAGCCCATCATTTACTCCTAACCCAGACGCTGCCTTTCCAGGGCCTCTTCAGGCCCAGAGTCCACCGCCTCCACCTGCTGTCATGCTGCTCCTGGCGTCCCTTCTGTTGCACTGCCTCCCGCTGGCCGTGGCAGACTACGACATTTGCAAATCCTGGGTGACCACGGATGAGGGCCCATCCTGGGAGTTCTATGCCTGCCAGCCCAAGGCCACGAGCATGAAGGACTATGTCACGGTGAAGGTAGAGCCCACTGGGATCACCTGTGGAGACCCCCCAGAGAGATTCTGCACTCATGTAAGTGGATGTCTTTCTTCCCTGTTGGTCCATTTGAAATAAAAGCCTGAGGGTGGATAAACAGGGTGGGACAAATCCCCAAAGTGGGTGATGCTACTAGGGGAGTTTCCAAGTTCTCAGTTCACTGTTGTCCTTTTCCTTCTCTGACCTCCCTCACCCTCACCCTTGAATATATGCAAAAGTACAGGTTACTCACCAGACCATAAGACAAAGAGTAAGATAACTAAGAGAAAACTGGATCCGAAGCCAATGGGCGCTCGGACTTCTTAATCCCTGATTGTAATCATCATACCCCTTACCCTTCTTCTTCTTTCCTCCCCATCTCTCCCATTGCCAGTGCTGCTTTTTCAGTTCCATTCAACTTGATGACATTAGAATGCTCCTCTGGTCTAAGGCATTGTTTTAGAGTGAGCAGACAAGTCTGTTTGCAAGATTTAGGAAATTGTCCAGGCCTCCCTCCTAGATATGCACCCTCCATGGCCTAGAGAAGTAGTCCTCTGCAGGCAACTTGGGTGGGTCCAAATGACCCCGCCAAGCAGTTACCCTCATTCCCTTTTTGGATCATAGGATCTTAGATGTAAAGCTGAAAGGGAACTCACAGATTAACTAGTTCAACCTCTTTCATTTTACAGTTGAAGAAAGTGAGGCCCAGAAAGGTTACATTATTTGTTCAAAGTCACACAGGTAGTCAGTGGTGAAACCGTAATTGAAACCCAGGTATGCAGACTCCAAATCCAGCTCTCAGTTCATAGTATCATACAATGATCAGAATAAATGGGAACAGTAGAGCTGCTTTTTATTAGATATTAATGAAAAGTGGGCTGTTTTTTTTTTCTCCAAATGCATGATTTCATTAGTATAAAGAACTTCAAATGAGGAAACTGGGCACAGTAGATAAGGCAACTGGATGTGGAATCACAAAGACCTGGGTTCATTCATACCCTCCCTCAGATACTTTCTAGCTGTGTTATCCTGAGTAAGTCGCTAAACCATCCTGTGCCTCAGTTTCCTCATTTGCAAAATCAGAGAGTTGGAGTAAATGGCCTTAAGGTCCCTTCCAACTTGATCCTACTATTGTGGCAATTGCACTTCAAGCTGTAGCCTTAGAGAGTTGCCTGGGGGCACCAAGATGTTAAATTACTTGCTCAAGGTCACACAGCTAGTATTTTTCAGAGACCAAGGAGGACTTGAACTCAAGTCCCTGTGATTCTATCCCACCACTCCAAACAACCTTCTGCTAGTGAAGAATAGTCTGACAAAATTATGCACAATAATACTAACTTTACATTTTTTACAGTATTCTGTAATGTCAAGCATTTTCACATAAATTTTCTTGGTGGCTCTTGCAATCCAGTGAGATAAGAGAGAGCAGGGATTGTTATGTATGCCCACTTGGACATGAGAAAACTAAGGCTTACAGAGACTAAATTTCTACCTATGATCATGTGATTAGTAAATGGTAGACACAGGTATAAAAATCCAGGTATTTTTGACTCCTGTTAAAATGCTGTTTCCTCCATATCTGATTCTCTAAGAAATCAGCCATTAGATCCAGGCATACTTCAGTTTCTTCCCTAACTTGTGATGCAAATCTTTTGTGACCTTGCAAAGGTCCTTCTGTTTCTTGGTTGAAAATAGGGATGCAATTGCTGATCCACACACATACATACACAGTTACATGTGACTGCTTTGGTTTCTGGCACATAGAGATCCATCCAAGAGGGCACATGGATGCAGGGAAGCCGTCCCCATGCCTAGAGGTGACTGAGAAGGTCACCTGAGAGCTCAGGAATGGGAAGAGGAGGCAATGCTTTCAGGGCAATGTTGATGAAGGTCTAGGTGTCCAGGCTTTTTCAGGGCAGGAGAGGGGACAGAAAGTCCAGAATGAGAGTACCTCAGAGGTGGCATCCCTCTTCCTAGCCTGTGAAAGAACTACTCTTCACCCTCCAAAATGAACGACAGCCACTAGCTCTTATATTTAAAACCTCGAATGTATTTTTTTCTTTTAAATATTAATCATTGCCTTTTATTTGGCATACCGCAAGACTTGTTTTTGTGGGGGAGGGGAAATGGCTGATTCATAATTCAAAAGACTCACTTTTGTTTAAAGAGCTTCAGGGGTCAGAGACAACCATAAAAGCTAAGTCAGAAGCCTTCCCCCATCTATATCCAGTTCAGAATAATAACCTCCTTCTCCTCTGACCTTATGCCCCCTTCCGTCCCCTTGTTGGAGTCCTTGTCCTGAGACTAGCAAATCATGAAACAGGCATTAGGAGCCACTGGCTGTAATAGGCTAAACTTGGCAGTGGGTAGAATCTCTTCACCTCTCCCCCACCAACTCATCCTAGTTAGTATCCCCTTTCCTCTTCCCCAGGCCCCACCCTCACCTCCACTGTGAGTGAGCACAGGTGGTGGGCAGAATAAACTAGGAGACCAAAACAAAGCATTTCTAGGGTCTCTGTTGCAGGCAGCACCTTAGCACCCCTCCACCTGTTGGGCTGCCTTAACTGTTTTATCATGGGCTGCCATCCTACCCTTGGACTTTGATTACAAATGTGCAGCCTGCAAGAATGAGATTGACTGGCTTGATGGGGAGAGTGGCTTTGAGGTGGTGGAGACCACCCTTTGAGGACTTGGCTCCCCCAGGGGTGAAGGGACTCTTCAAGCTATGTCTGCTTTCTTCAAATCCAATGATGTTTCTACTACAGCCACTAATAATAGCTGCCATGCATTCTCTTTGCATGCGCTTTAAGATTTGCAAAGCACTTTATATACATTAGCTCATTTGAGTCTGACCACAATGGTGAAAGGGAATATAGATAATATTCTTCCCATTTTACAGGTGAGGAAACTGAAGTCCAGAGATGGTAGGTAAATGCTTTTCCCAGGGTTACACACCTAGTAAGTGTCCCAAGTGGGTGGAATCTAGGCCTTTCTTCTTCCAAACCTAGTGCCCTATATAGTGCACAATGCCATCTCTTGCTTAAGACTGGAAATAAATAGCAGAGCATGTATATTCAGGTTCAGTTTTACTAACTAACTCTCCCTAAATGTGATTGACATAAGGGTCAGGGCTGCCCCCCTAACAGCAATGGGTCCTGTGCAACTACATCTTCTGCCCAATTGTTAGCAGTTCTTAAAATGTGACAGCCCCATCTTCCCTCAATCCAAAGCCAACCTGTCCCCTGCCATAAAAAACTCATGCGGCAAGTGACCATCCATACTCTGAGCATTATGTTTCTACCAATCTAGCTATGAGGCCAAAACTCTGAGTCCTAAAACCTGCTACAGGGCTGCAGGCTAAGGCATGCAGAGAGGAACAAAGAAGTCGTTGCCTTTTTCGGGGGTCTGGGGTGAGAATTTTCCCTCTCCAGCTGCCTCTCTCCTTCTTGTTGTTCACATCAACGCCCTTCTGGCAAGGCCACCTGAGAAATGAATTGTAAATTTCACTCTGTCGAGGAAGGGGAGGGGGAAGATAGACAAGATAAATGAATAAATAAAAACCTGGAGGGTTCTAAATGCACAATGAGAATTAATAGGGAAGAGCTCTCAACCAAGGATGCTTGGGCAAGGGTGAAATTTGAATGAGAGCTGCAGAGCTGCAGAAATGGTAGCATGCCATCTTCTCAGCTTGGGGCAAACACACAGCACCAGGAGCTACTGTTCTTGGTCTATGGCCTGGGGACGGGATGAAGAGAGGGAGTAGATGTTACCAATAGACATCACTGCACTTTCAGCCTCCCTTTGTGGAGGGTGGGAGATGACTTGGCATAGTAAGTAATTAGGCAGTTTTCTGCAAGGAAGAAAGGTTGCCAGCCAGCTACCTGTGCTGCTTATAAAAAAGGAGGAATAAACTTTCTTTGTGCCTTGGAGACAATAACTAATCTGAGGAGAGGGGTAGTGGAAAAAGGGTAAAAGCCAGTGGCTAGAACTATCCTCTATGTCCCTTTGTCAGTATCCTCATTACCTTAGCATCTGAGAGACAGCTTAGCATAGTGGACAGAACACTGAACTTGGAGTCAGGAAGACCCGAGTTCAGATAATACCTTGGGACCTAAATGGTTGTGTGATTTTGGCCAAGGCACTGCAGTCAACTTCAGTTTCCTCATCTATAAAATAGGGACAATAATAGCACCTGTCTGTCACAGGGGTGTTGAGAGGATCAAATGAGATAATATACGGATAGTGCTTCGCAAACCTTACAATGCTGTATAAATGCTAGCTATTGTTATTTATGAATATTGCAAGTCTGGAGTGAGGTGGTAGGGCTGCAAATCCATTTCTCTCATTTGACAGGAGCAAATTAAGGTATTTGGAAGGACTTGGAGGGATTTTATGTGTATATATATATACACGATCACATGTATGATCATATAGAAAAATCCTATATAGGTGTCATATGCATATGATATATAGGACATGTGTGTATATACTATGTATGTATATACATATGTGTAGGTATATAGTGTATATGTGTGTACATTGTATAGGTATATGCTATGTATATGTATACTATGCATGTATGTATCTATGTATAAGTATCTACTATGTATATAGGCTACATGTATACACACATTTATATGCACATATATTTCAGTTGTTCACTCGTTTTTTCAGTCCTGTCCAACTCTTCCTGACCCCATTTGGGGTTTTCTTGGCAAAGATACTGAAGTGGTTTGCCATTTCCTTCACCAGCTCATTTTACAAATGAGGAAACAGGGTAAAGTGACTTACCCAGGGTCACACAGCTAGTAGCTGTCTGAGACCAGATTTGAACTCAAGAAGATAGGTCTTCTTGACTCCAGGCCTGGCACTCTAGCTGTGCCACCTCGCTGCCCCTATGTATACATATACATATACACAAACACACATGTGTATGTATTTCTCTTTAGATATGGCTATATATTTATATATAAAGGCAATTTGATTCAGTGGGGAAAGAAAAGTTGGGTTCCAGGGCTGGTTCTGCCACTTAAAACCTGTGGAAACTTGGGCAAGCT